AGCTCTTAGGTTGGAGGCCGTGGCTATTGGGATGGAGGCCATTGCTAGTAGGTTGGTGGCCAAGAGAGTACACGCAATGCATGGGTGAAAAGCATCCCGATGCTGACTCCTGCCCTTTCGTCGGCTCCAGGCTAGACGGAAGAATTCCAACTCCCAGGCGTTGGAATTGGCTCATCGAACCAGCAACGCTGCCAGTGACCTTTCACCAGAAAAATAATGGTAAAGTGTGACGTTTAGACATCTAATGGACAATAGACGTCCAAATGTAATGCATTCTTTTTTGATGCCAAAAGTCAATCAACAGTGCGCCTCAATTCTTGACCGTTTGTCGAGGCCTTGCCAGAGATTGCAAGACCCAAGGAGACTGCTTTCTGCCAATCGAGCACTGACCCAGTTCGCAGCTGGAGAACTGTTGTTTAAATAGGAATATCCACAGCCAATGGGTATTGGTCCAATTTTTCAAGGGGTCTACACGGTCCACGGACGGCCGTGAAGGTCGTAAACCTTTGGCCTGACTGGGTGTCTGACGTAGTTGGGGATTTGTAGCGTTGAGACCGCAACCTGGCTGGGGAGAGCTGAACTTGTGCATTTCGCTACAACGAGACGCACATGTTGATAGTTTCTCATAACTTCCAAACTTAGTTTTTTACAGTGGATGTGTTCCTATAGTTAGATCGACCTTCAACCTGACTGGGGGCATATTTGGAAAGTGTCAAAGTAAGTGTTTCGCCATAGGAAATGCACATTATGTTCTACTGCAACAGCTTCGCCAAGTTCTTTAAGACAGTGTGCGGAGAGTCTCTGAGGTGCTGTTGTCGGTATGCATACATGGACATACTCAGAGATTCTCTCATTCATGCTATTTTCATCTTTCTTTTGCTTAGCAACCAAGTGGTGGGGCAGGACAGTCTTCAGACTTAAGTACGTACGATCCAACAACTGTGTGCCTGCAAGACTGGTGGTCTTCTTTTCATATCGTTCAATGTTCTTTGTGAAGACCTTCGGTTCATGGGTCACACGCTCGCAAGGCAACTGTTTGCCATCGAAGCCGCGACCCACCCATGCGCCCGTAACACTGCACACGAAAAAACGTAAAAAGACTCTGCAAACATGTTACTACTAGCGAGGCACTTGTTACTACTAGCTTCTTGTTACTACTAGTAAGGCACTTGTTCCTAGTAGCGTGGCACTTGTTACTAATAGCTTCTTGTACTCCGGAAAAGTCCGTTCCGGAAAGGCCAGTAACAAGAAGCTACTAGTAGCAAAAGGCATCGCTACTAAGAGCAAGAAGCTACTGGGAGCAAAGGGCACTACTAGCCGGATAAAAATGGCAGTTGAATGGCATGTCATCCGTTTTCACCAATTCCTCCGGTCTTCCAATGCATTTTCAACGAAATGCACAGTCAAAGACACCGTCACCAGACAAACCGTTTGTCATTGCCCCCACCCCACCCCACCCCACCCCACCCCATGTGTCCCACAAAGCAAATCAGTTCCGGAACCAAAAACTTTCATAGCGGGCGCGTAGCCCTCAAGGACACCTCAGAAGTACTACAAAAAACAAACAAAAACACGCGAAATGCCATGGCCGTCTACAAGCCGTGTTCCGCCTACACACCCATTTGTCCCAAAAAGACACCGGCTTGTCATCATCCTTTATTGCATCGAAATTGGCAGGATCCTTCCCTTCAAGACGAAGGTGATGAGGCGCTGACTCAATCATCAGCTACTTGTGCAGCTCAGTCATGAACTTCCAATCCATTTAGTTGCTTTGTGGCAGATCTTTGGCTGGAGGCCATCGCCAGTAGGTCGGAGGCCACACGTTGGCCACAATCTGGAAGAAACTTCTCCAGGAGAGTCGCGATCAGTGGAACTGGACTGCGCCTACCAAAGGCGCGGAAGTGGCGCTGGGTTTAAGCCGGGGTTCATTTTGCGGGTCTAGTTGCAGGATATAATTACAGATAAACTTAGGAGTTCTTGGAATTCTTGTCCTGTCACAGTTGCTCTGGTGGATGCAAGAATCATCAAGTTCTAAGCAAAGTGCAGTTTGTTGGGACACTTCTGTGAAGTGTTTTCTTCTGTTTGGCCGAAGACCTTAGAACTGCTAAATCTCGGTTTCTTACAACATATTTTTAATCAATAAAAGACCAGTGCAAACAAGCCAAGCGGTTGTTGTTCATCAAAGCTGGAGCTTCATTGAAGGGCAAGTGAACAACTTGGAGAGACTTTGGACGTCCTTGGCATTCGGCCGGTGGTTGGCCTCATGTTTGTTCGACTTGGTTGTGGTGAACACCAAGTGGTATATCCAGACACCTGGATCGTCATTTCCATCACACTGTGTAAAAAGGCTCAAAGTGCAAACATTCCTTGAACTTCCAGGCATGAGGTCTACACAGATGCTTCAAGTTTCCATGCATTCTCCCTCCTTTCCAGCGTGGTCTCCTTCATTCACAGAAACATAATATAGACAAATAAATATATATATACTGTAGATCATCGGCAAGCCGTAGATGCTGATGGGCTTACAAGATTGCCAAAAAGATGAAGACATGTGGGAAGCTGATTTGTGTTCAGGAGTTGTTTTCTTCTTTATGTATACTTTAATTCCTGTTCAATGTTTCTGGTGTTGAGTGTCTTTCTTTCGTGCCTTTCAATCCAAGGATGTGGCTGGTGTCATTGAACCTGATGGTGCTGTTCTGCTTCTTTGCCATGCCATGTCAACGACAACCGGTCCTACCAAGACCGTGTCCATATCTCGCACCGCAGCCCTGTGAGCGCGCGGTGTCGGACGTGCACGCAGAAGCGGTGCACGCAAAGAACGCGCTCGTGCTCGACGAAGCGGTGCGCACCGACTCGACGGCGGCACAGCCGACCTCTGTGAACGGAATCCAAAGAGCTTCCGAAGATCCGAAGGTCTCGGCTGCAGCGTCCTCAGGAGGAACTGTAGTAGGTGACCTGGAGATCTCCACACCTGCGCCCGAGCGCAGCAGAGCTGAAGCCCTGGTGCCTTCCAATTTGCCCACCCGACTTCCTCAGCTCCCGACCCAAGTCATCTTGGCGCCGCCGCCGCCCGCTGTGGCGCTGCCAGACCCCGGACCCTTTCGTGCACCCCAGACCCTTTCGTCTTCGTGCCGCTTCGTGGTGGATCGCTGTCAAATGGATTCTCATCTCATGGCAGCAGAGAAGTTCGATCAGATCTATGCGAGGAATGGCTGGGGAAGTCGGATCAGCGAACTGGGCACACACACGCGGAGTGGTTTGGGCAGTGATCTGAAAGGAGCTTTTGATTGGATCTCGGGCTTGAACAAGTTCTTCAACCAGAATCCAGAGTGCCTCGGATACGCACATTCATTGAACAACACCTGGCCAGGAATGGGGGTTTTTAGATGTTCGTTCTTCAGCCAAAAAACTCGCAATCAGGTGCCACAGATGGGTGCTGCTGAAACAAGATCCGTGATTTATAGTCATAGTATGTCATAGGTAATATACTAGCCGCACGACTTCTGTCCATCTTCAACCGTGCTTCGTTGAACTCTTTACGGTGTCCCGGGAACCGTCCCGTTCCCAACCGAGGCTTCAGATCATTGCAGATATCCCAAGTGGAGACATAGGATGGCAAATGGCTGTGAGGCATTTGAACACTGCAAAGCTTTACTTTGGTGGTGACATCGCCAGGAGCGTTGCTGAATCGAATGCCAAGAGGTTCAAAGATCATGCAGCTTTGATGCGTTGTAGGTTCAGTCATGGTGCAGTCTGCTGAGCTCCTAGGAGCTACTATAGGAGTTTCTAGGAGCTACAGTGTTGTCAAAAGATTGTTAATTAAATACTGTAAGCACAATTTAGCACATATCTTGGGCTTCACGCCCAGAACGCCTCACCAAATCAGTTCTGGGCTCAGGTTTCCATGGATTCTATATATCTATAGCAATAGGTGTCTCTCACAATTGCAAACCCCATGCATGCTCTCTTTTTGTTGTGAACTCCTTCTTGCTGAGCTACCAGACCCCTGTCCACTCCAGGATCGCATCCAAATCCGTCTCGTGTCGGGCCCCGACCCGAGGCCAACAAAGTCTTGCAACACTGGGATCTCCATTCCTGCGGAGCGCCCCAGTGGTACACCAGCTGCGATTCCACCCGCCATCCGTTCGACGTGATCATGATCCGGGATGCGCTCCAGCATATTCCCATCCTCAAGGCCGGCGGGGCTATTAGTAACAAGTGCCACGCTAGTAGTAACAAGTGCCTTACTAGTAGTAACAAGAAGCTATTAGTAACAAGTGCCTCTACTAGCTTCTTGTTACTACTAGTAAGGCACTTGTTACTACTAGCGTGGCACTTGTTACTAATAGCCGCGAGTCGGGGCACCCGGTGTCGGGTTCGATAGAGCGATGGGCGCGATCGGTCAAGAGTGACGGCCGTGTGAGACGGGACCAAAGCTGACCCTGATGGTACCATGAATCCAAACAGGACCAGTTCACCTGCTACGTATGTCCAAGATATTTAGTGTCTTACCCAGAAAGAAAATAGGTGCTGGCGAGTCCGGGACTCGTGGGTGGTCATGGAAGGTGCAGCAGATCTTACACAAGGTGATTTTGGAGTCGGGTGCCAAATGGTTGATCACTTCGAGCTATCCGGAGAGTGATACACTACATCACAAGGATACCGCTGCCTGTCACAACGATGAGAATCTCAGGCAGAGAATTTCTTGGTTCATCTTGATTCCTCCAAAAAGTCAGCTTTGTCTTGCAGAAGAAGTTAGTTGAATCGTGTTCCACTCAAGTCTTTTCTTCTCAAAAGAAATGCTTAAAGATTGTTTAAGCCTGAGTTGCAGAAGCCTGGCAGAAGCCGCAGCCCGATTTCTTCTTATCTCATCTAAGGAAGCTCTTCTGCAGCAAGGGCGCAATGCGTAATGGTGACGGTGGATGGTATCCCATTGCGTTGGACTGTGCACCTTTCCTCTTCCCTCCTCCGGCGGTCAAAACACCGTCGCACAGCACCTTTCCAATTGAGCATGATCCTCGCCCTAGTAGCGAATGGCCTGGCGGAGGTGTATTGAAACGGGAGCCGTTCAAGTTTGCTTGGTTTCTGTTGCTTTCCCCAAGTTTACGAATCTTCCATCAGAAAGTTCAGCTTTTGGACATGCGGCTCCACATTGTGAGCAAGTCTCCTAAAGCAATTGCTTGAGATGTGAGGATTTTATGTATATCTACCGCATCGATGATGCCTTGAAGGATTCTGCAGTTTTGGTGGTGGGAAGGGTGTCGTGTTTGTGTTTCTTTATCCAAGCAAAGAGTCATTCTGTAGAAAAGACTTGAATCCAGGCAGTCGGAGACAGAGAAACCATTATTGACCAAACATCAGCTATGTGAAGTGAAGGCCTTTTTCAGGTTTGGAGGATGTGAGTGTGAGCAGCTTCGGTTTCCCTTCCTTTTTGGTTGGGTCCATAAAGGAACAAAGATTGGAACTGAATCGGTTCGTTCCATAGGAGAAACCCCCCACGAGTCAGTCACAGGTGTGTTTGTTTCTCTGTCACAGTTGGAAAAGCAAAAAGGACACTTTTTGGCCTACTGGTCCTACTAGTAGAAAGATTTTTGGGTTTTGACATTCCTCTCTTTCCCTTTGCAGGATGCAGTCCGGAAAATGAGGCTGTGTCATCCATCATGACCGCCAACGTAGCGGTGTAGGATCTAGTCGAGGGCAATGCCACTAGTTCCTTTTAGATATGTGATTTTTCTCGCTCAAAATGAGCGAGTCGGTTGTGTAGTTCAAGATGGGCCCGAGTCGGTTTGTGCACCCAAAGTCTTGTTTGGTGCCTGAACTTGGCTGGTAACTTGCCATAGCCAAAAAAGGATGCGTCCCACTGACAGCTCTCCACGCTGATTCTTTTAAAGAAGAAGGTGTCAAGCTAAAAGCCCTCGCCCTTCCTGCTGCGAGGTGCTTCAGGTTTTCTTCCACCACTTCAGTCCGGAGCTTGGAATCGAAGTCTTCAAGGGTCTGTGGTTTGTGTCAAGTCTTTCTGAAAGCAGCGTTGGCAAAGGCAGACGACGAGCAGTCTGCCAGTATCACAGGTTTGGAGCCCTTCGATTGTGGATCTGACTGTGACTTCGAACAGAACACCTGAAATGGATCGTGTTTGTGTTTCTAGTGTAGATGTGTGGCGCTCTTATGGACACCTTGTAAGTGCAACGTAGCTAGCGACATTCTGCAATGGTAGCTCATGATCTACTTTGGGTGGAATATGTTTCTCACAATGTGTGCCAGACCTTTTCCAGCAGACCAGAAGAGGTTGGGCCGTTTGCCACCGATTTTCAAGCATCGGTGTTTGATCCAAACTTTTGTATTTTAACAATAGAATTGCACAGCAAAGAAAGGCGTCAGGATGTATTCCTTTCAGATCAGGCGTCCTCAGTTTCTCCATGCGTAGCCGTATGACAGGGAGTGTACCGGACGACCCACCGGACGACCCACCGGACGACCCACCGGACGACCCACGACGACCTCACACAGCGAGTAGTCCTAAAACACCCATCAACTCACCTGTGCGTCAGAACCTGTGACTTGTAACGGATGAGTCTTGTAACAGGAAGAGGTTGCTACTAGTAACATCTAGTAACAAGAAGCTACGAACAGAACAAAGGCGCTACTAGGCGCAAGGACGCTACTAGGGGCGCTCCTGGCCTTACTGCTAGTAACAAGAAGCTACTAGGTGGAGGCCGTCGCTACTAGGGTGGAGGCCATTACTACTAGGAGATCTTCCTTGCAATTTGCCTGGTGACCTTGGACAATACATTTTGTAGTACAGAACGGTTTGCGCAACCTCTTTTGCTACAAAATACAAAGTCCCATGCAAAAACACAGTACTACAAAATGACCCATGGATGTATGGTGCGCTACAAAATCAAGGGCCCCAACCCTTCTATATGGAAAAAACCTGGTGGGATTTATAGCTACTACAAAATGTATTGCACAACCTCAAACATGCCCCTCAGCAAGCACCAAGAAAAATGCTCACTACAAAATGTCGCCGCCCTCTCTTTTGTCTCATCTGCCTTACCACCCAGGAAGCTGGTGGTCCTGAATGTGCATTCTTTACCACCCCAGCTGGCCTCCAAAGGCACAGCAGGCGGCCTACCTAATCGACTATTGGAATTGCTTGGGGCGTCCTCACATGCCCACAGAGATTCCTATGGAATCAGCAATTCTGCTTTCCCATCTGCGCTACCCATGCCTGAACTGGAGGAAGCAACTGTTACACGCAAACCGTGATTTAGGATGAGGATGGATGAGGATAGACGAGACAATACTAGCAATACAAAATGGTTTCCTCATGCCCGTTTGCTACAAAATGAGGCTGCCATAGACTACCCAAACAGAAATGCAATAACATCCAAGTGAGCAGTTGTGAAAGGCTGGATAGCATTTTCTAAGATGAATTGATGCATGGTGTTCAGGACTTGGTGGCATGTTTTGCCGCGAGATGCTCGCAAAAGTCCGTCTAGCAACTACAAAATGGATCAAAATGGTCTCCTCATCCATGTCTGCTACAAAATGAACCTATATACCCAACCAACCAAAAAAAAATATCTTGCTGAACGATGGTGAAAGGCTCATGGTCATGGTGCTTAGATGTGATTAGGACTTCTTGCTGGCACTTTTTGCCGCGAGATACTCGCAAATGTCCTTCAACATTCTTAAAAAACCCTGGCGATTTGGCGGATCACGGGTCAGCTGTGAACGCAATGTGTCGAAGTACTTGCTCACAGAGCGTCCAAACACGTCTGGCGTCTTCATGTGAGCAAACCTCACCACACAGGCAAAAGGTTATTGTGAGTCATTTTGTAGTGAAAGGGAACTAATAGATTATTTTCCTGCAGTTTGTAGAAGGGTCGGGTCCCACTCAGCATCTCTAAACTACTCCGTTTGAAACCAGTGAAAAAGGTCGAAGCATGTCCAAGTATCAAAGCGTCAACAGCTTCATGGCATTCGTGGATGATCTGTTCCTTGGTCTTTCCCTCGGCGGGTGCCAACTTCAAGCGGCACAACCCATCATTGGAGAAAGCTGGGGCATTCTGGAATGCCTTGTGATCCAATTCGATGAGCTCTGAGACCTGGCCCCTGATCAACGCATACCCCTTGTTCGTCCTGCGATAGTCCTTGAAAGTTGGGGGCTCCACTGACAGGCTCACAAGTACCGGCTTTGTCTTCTTCTTCCTCTTTCTTTTTTTCTCGTCCCCCTTCGCACACTCCTTCTCAACCTCTCCCTTCTTCTTGCCTTTCAGCTTCTTCTTCCTCTTGCCGCCGTCAGACGCATGTTTTGCCTTCTTTGCACGCCCGAGATGGCTGCGCTTCCTCTTGCCACGGCCACCCTTCCCCAACTCGTGCGTGGCCTTCTGCTCACCTGACATCAAGCTGGCTGACTTCTTGCCGCTTCCTCGCACCATAGTTGGGTTCACGGCCCAGCCCTGCATATCCGGTAGCCTCAGAACCGCTTGGGCACTGTCCTCGCTGATGGTCACGCGCACGGACCCAGAGTTGTCCAAAGGAAAGCTGCCTTACAAAAACAGGCAACAGAAGACACTGCAACAGAACAGCACACTACTGACATTACAAAGTCTACCTCTACAAAATGCACACTCAGAGGAAAAACGCTACAAAATGCATGAGGTATAACAAAAGGATACAAAGGGGTACCTTAACTATGTTGCAGGGCGCAGTGTGTGCAATCCAAGATGGTGATGAGGGACTCTGTTCGGGCAACCCATGCAAGTGAATCTTTGCGGCAGCTCCACTGTGATGGAGATTCCTGCCACAACGCAATGCAAGTCAGTCATGGCCAGCAAGTCCTAGAGCCTCCTACATCAGCCACTCTGGAAACCCATACTCTAAAGAATGACCAACTGTAAATCCAAACAGACTCATACACTCTCTGCCTATCATTTTGTAGTGTTTGCAATGAATACCTTTTATTTTGTAGCCATATAGTTGATTCTAGACGCTCCTCCGATGCGCTTTCCAGCTGAAGTTGCACTGCTCGGAAAGCCACAACAGAGTTGATCGGTGTGTCTCCACAAATCAGCTTTGGCATCTTCACTCCACGCCATACTGACAAGATAATACCTGTTTCCACACTGGAAGTCCTACTTGGTGTGTGGAATAGGACAATGTTCCCTGGCCTCAGCAGTGGACACTCTCGATTTGTCAAAAGAATTATCTTTTAGAGTTGTACTAAAAACATCCAAAAACATCCAAAAACTATCAAAAACTACTAAACAATTGAAAGTGCTCAGCAAAAACTACTAAAAAATTGAAAGTGCCCAGCCATACTGCTCAGACTATATTCCTCTTTCCCCCCGTCCAATATCTATCAATCACAAATAACATCAAATATTAGCAAATAATCACATGATATCAAAGTCACTTCAAGGTTTCCAGCGCTCCAGGAGGTAGCTGCAAATCTTTCCGAGCCCTTTCTGCGACTTCTCGCCACTTGGCTAGGCGACTGGTGCGGCTGTTGTGAAAGCCTTCTTCCTGTTGATGGTTGATCTGCGCGATACGCCGTTCATTGTACCTCAAGATCCACACACAGATTGCTTGCCTCCAACTTACATTCACTACAGAATGCATGTACACATTGTTTTCAGAAACTGTGTTCTACAAAATGTAAAATCATACCCTTGCATTATGGCACATGCTATCCATGCCTGCAAACATATTCTAATACATTCTAATACTATGTTGCTGACATTGCGTTGTATGAGATCGTATGAGTATTGACAGAAAAATACAGAATGGTTTTCCCAGCCTCATTGGCTACAAAATGAAAGGCAACATGCCAAGACACACGTCAAACCCATCTCGTTTCTATTTATCTTGCCGTGGGGCTGGTACCAGTTGAGCGCTGATGCTGCCCTCCGGGTGTTCTGCGGATTCTTCAAGAATCCACTGTCAAGGCCACCCCTCATTGACCGTAATCGCAGGCACAATCGGAAGATGCTGTTCAACCTGCAGCCTTTGTTCGCCAAAGCATGCCTCAGAGTACTTGGAAGCGGCCTTCGCTTCCGACCGGATCTGGACTGTTCAGATCCAAAAGGTTCTAGAATCGCTGGTTTCTCCATCAGCTCTTCTAGCTGTTCTCGATCAGGAACTCCAGCTAGGTCATTGTCCACTGTTTCCGAGCGTCTCTCCTCAGTTGACTCAGCTTGCTCATCACCAACCTTGAAAGCCGAAGGTTCCACGGTCTCAGCCTGAAGTGCATCCAAAAACTCTGTGCATTCATTCTTTGCGGTTTCCTCACAAGCCAATTCTTCGTCGCCCATCTCAAGTTCGTCCTCTTCAAGAGCATCATTTTCCGTGTCCCAGAAGCCGACGGCACAGTAGTCCTGATACCACTTCTCCAGCTTCTCAGTCGGCACCTTGCTGCACCAGGATGCCAATTCAAGCGCCGCTTTCATGCCATTCTCACAGCAAGTCTGGAACCTTGCTGACTGGCAGCAAGCACGCTCTACAAAATGCAAGGGAATTACCAATACCTCTACAAAAACATAAAGACATGTAGGGACCATCACCATGTGATGAACAAACAGGGAGAGTGCAAACAAGCCACTCTGAATCTGTCAAGGCAGCTTCTTGACGAGCAGGCGTAGCTTTCAACTTGTTCAAAATTTCCCCTGCCCTTAAGTTCTGTCTTGCACATGCCAAAAAGTAGCTCCGGGCCGAGACCTGACTATTGCTGGACTGCTGCCGGATTCCCGCAAACCACTGTTCCACAGAAATTTCTGTGAGCCGTCCATTTCCATGATCAAAGCAATTGTACCAGGGAGGTTTTGTCAAAGTAACCACCATGGTCGCTAAAGCGGCACTTTGGGCATTGCTTAGCGTCTGACCTGCATAGAAGCAACTTCCTGCAGGAAGCTCCATGGCTTTGCACTTGCGGTCAGCTAAGATTTTGAACAGGTCCATGCCGACGAAGCCACTCACGGCGTTTTCGCACCGTTCAGCCATTGTCAAATCTCGGTGGACCAAGCCGGAAAGGCACAACGCTGTCATGCAGTTGTGGATGCAAAGACCGGACAGGCTCCACGGAATGGTCATGGCTTCCAAACTGCCTTCCTCAGGAGAAAAGAGGGCTGTGGAAGTGCAATCAGTAGAGTAGAGAAGCACAATGGTCGAAGTGAAAGTACTATCTACAATCATCACTAAAACATACTATAAACCTCTATATACATCTATAATCATCTATATACATCATTATACATCTATATAGCACTAGCGCTACTAGGATTTATTCTTCCAACCTTTGAAGGCGCTGCCTACGAGTGATCTTGTGTTCAGCTCATTTAGTAGTAATCCTAGATGGCCCAAGTTCATTTAGTAGAGGCAATCCTGATTGTATTTTGTGCATTCTAGCGGCAACGCTGTCCACCAAAAAGAACGGGTTGTTGACCAAACTGTTCAATTTATCGCTTTGCGGATTGACCCGGCTGTATGCTGCTGGTGGCAGGCCGTGAACTCTGCACTGGGTGTTGTCAGTAAACAGCTCTCCAAAAAACAGCGTCCGGAGCGGGGAGACCATCTGCCCGTTGAGGTTCTTGCTGGAATGGCCTCTGGGCATCTCTAGGCCATCAGGAATTATATAAAAGGAAAGAAAACTTATTATAAAGATTTACACTATAAAGAATCCACAAAACCTAAACTTATTCTACAAAGCCTCTACAAAATGCACAAAAACATCAAAACACACCAAAATAAAAAAAGACCGCCAAGGCAGTCGAGAAGCAAACTCCCGGCAGGGCCCAAAAGTACTCTCCGGAAACGGGCTCCTTGCAAAGGCGCACGGGGAGCCTGGGCAAGCAACATGCTGGCAAACTCTCGTACGATAGCTTGCCAAACCACGGTAAAGCCCGCAGCTCAATCGGGTCCATGCCCTGAAGCTGTCCATGGATCACCTTGCGGATGAACAATTGGCTACTGTGCTGGTCGAACACCAATGCGCGCACGATTCCTGATGCCTTCTCCAGAACGCGGCCAAGCAAATCCAGCATAAACCAGTTCGACCGATTCGTCCCTTGCACGTTGGAAAAGTTGTGCTCTATCGGGAGGCTGCAAATGCTCAACGGGTTCTTGCGCTTCTGGCACGGGTCCCATGCAATCATCTCAAGCATGTTCAAGGCCTTCACTACAGAAGAAATGTTCAGCTTTTCCTCCTCCAAGCTGATGAAACAGCTGCCTTCTGCTCCTGTCTTGAACATGCCGCCGACCAGCCCGTGCTGGGAATGAATCTTCAGCTGGCTCAGCGTGGGCGTGAGATATGTAGCGTCAAAGCAAAGGACGAAGCGGCCTAAATAGCTGAAGCTTTTGGACCCGCTAGCTTTCCTACATTTTCCTACTCTTTTCTGATACTTGCATTGTGTAGTGACTTTTCACTTGTTGTTGCAATTTGTAGTGAAGAATAACTACTTTGAGAATCTTTGTGACGTATTAAATGATACTAACGCCCAGTCTACAGTAACACCCTTACACCGCATTCCAAGAATAGAACATAAGCATAAACATACAACATGACCAAGGTCTACTGAAGCTATTGCAAGGAACAAATGCCTTCCGACGTGGTCCTCAACGCTCTCTGGTCCAGAATCTCAAAGTTCTGCTGCAGAATGCCATCAAAATGCAGAGCTAGCGCGGACGCAGGAACACTTTTCGGCAGCAAATCATCTAGTAGGTTCCCATACGTCCTCAAATTCAGACCAAACTCTTGGGCCAATTTCCGGTTGCAGCAAGCTAAAGCCAGTCTTTGACCTGCGTCAGCAATCAACAGACGCTCTGCTTCTGATTCTGCCGTCCTCCTGCCTTTCATTGTCGTTATTCCTTTCTCCTGTTTGTCAACCAACCTGAGACACTGCAAGCTGATCCCATGCAGTAATGGATGCGACTCCAGTTTTCCTTGCATGGCCGCTGCTGCTATTTTGAAGGATGCCAGGTCTTGTTCCTGCGCACGTCCACTTCTGATGATGGCCGTAAAACGACCCACAATGTCGGACATCTCTTCTGGGATCCCCATCACGTTGACCTTCAAACAAGGCTTCACGATGGACGTGACAAAGTCAGCATGAGCTTCAGTGGCCGTCTCCCGTGTGGCAGAGAGCCAGCTGGCGCGGACAAACTGCTGCAACTGGGAATTTGACATCTTGAGCAGCTTGGAGACGACCTTGAAATCGTGCTCATACAGCGCACTTTGTTGGATCTCAGACTCAACTGCTTTGGCTGCTTGCTGGCCAGCAAAAAGTCTCGAGCTCAGCAGCCTGGCCATGTAATATTTTTTTGCAAATTTGAGTACTGTTCTGGGGACGCCATGTGCGCCTCCCAAAGACTTGCACTCTTTGCAAATCGGAAGGCTATTCTCATTTACTGGAGGTTTGCAAAGCTTCTCACACTTATTTGCAGTGACGGTCCATGTGCCACTTGTGTGGTCCTCCGGCAGCCGGAAAACAAGAACACTATAGAACACTAAGTAGAACACTACAAAATGAGTATCTGTATGCTCCAAACACTACTAAATGATGGTTGGTAGGCTCCAAACACTACAAATTTCAATTCAGTGTTTGTTAAGACCCTTTAAGTGACTCTTGTCCTGCTCGTACTTGTGCACTGCAAGTTGGCTCAGGTTGGTCATGCTCACCCAAAGGCCAAATTCCTTCTGTAGTGAAAAGAGGTGCCCGGCATTCTCCTCATTGTTGAGCACCAAGCCTGAGCAAGGAACTGTTCTCTCTTCATCCTCCATGGAAGCTGCTCCAGCTTCCTGCGCAGTCTGACTCAGACTTGCCAAATTGCGCTTGTGTGTCACGCAACCCAGGTGTTTGTCAATGAAGTACTTGACACTGTAGTGCTTAGCCAGGCTGAGCTCTCCCACCTTTCCTTGTGGTTGGGTTTTGCTCTTGCATACTAGGCACTTGAAGGGAAATGTCTTCCCGAGTGATCCAGGCGGCAGCAGTTCGATGACCCCCGGAAATTTCTTGGCGTATGCAAAAGGATCACTATCTTGATCCTCCTTTGCATCAGGGTCAATCTCCTCCTTCACCTCTGGCGGCTCCTCACAAACCTCTCTGGCCGCATTCTGATCTTCGGGCTTGGAAGTTGTTGCCAGTTCCCCTGTCGGGTCATCCAACTCTTGCTGCAAGCGTTCGGCGGAAAAGCGACATCGCTTCAAAAGCTCCTGGCAAGCATGGCATTTCGAGGTTGCCGCTTCCGCATTACCCAGCAACAAATGCTGCTGCAGGCTCACATACCCACCGACTGGACAGACTGCTGTCTTCTTCAGGCTTGCCTTCCTGCACCAGGGAGCATTTGGAATACAAAATGAAAGGGGCATAATCAATACGCTCTACAAAATGAGGTTGACCATCCCAAAATTAGCCAAGATATAGCTTTTGTCTACAAAACCTTTCAAGTTGTAGTGTGATATTGCTGGAGCCCCGGCCTGGTATGCGTTGACTGGAATTCTGGGTATGAGGCTCCAATCCTGCCAAGATACTGCTTGACCACGCCCAATTGCTGAACACGGTTAGTGACAAGCTTCTTCTTGCAAGTCCGCGCATGCCGAGCCCGTTTCATACGAGGGACTGTTGCGCCCTCCTCCTGCTCATCATCCTCCTTTGCCTCATCTGCTGGCTCTACCTCTGCAAGTTGCTCAAGCAAATCGTCCTCTTCCTGCACGACCTTCCTTTTGGCGCTTTTGGTCTTCTTCTGTGGAGGCTTGAGTCCGGCCTCTACCTTGATTGGCTTGCCAAAATCAGCTGCGCGGCAACTTGACTTGGTCATCTCCGCAGGCATTGGAGGCTTCTCTGGTGTGTTTTGCGGCACTGGCTTCTGCTTCTTCTTTTTCGGAGTCCCCGATTTCGGTGTCTGGGACTTTTGTGGCTCATCGCCATCTTTAGCTTGTTCTGTCCGAACCCTCTCAATCTCTTCCTCCACAAAATCCTTCATGCCAAAGAATTTGAACATCGTCTGCCAAGCAGGATGCGCAGACACCTCCATCCACATGTCTCCAATCTCCTCAGAGGCAGCTCTGCGCAGGACATATACATATATTTTGGGTTACTGAGGAGTGCATTTTGTAGTAAAGATGATCCTTGGCATGCATTTTTTAGCACATCACCGAAAACACTAAGGTTTTGTATAGCCGAGTTTCTTTACGCAACTGGTGAGCGCGTTTGCGGCTATAAGATTTCCCACCTCTCATGCGCGCAGGCTTTCCTTGACCCAGCTCATCTAGGGAGTAAATCCCACAGTTCCCATCTGCAAGGACATCTTCCGCAAATAGCCCTCGCTCCCGAACTGTCTGATGCAACTTCTCCTCTGCATCTAGGCGTTCCATCAACTCCTCAAGCTCAGCAATGGCAGAAGTTGTATCAGCACTCTTGGGCTCTCTCCGAAGCTTGGCAACTCTGTTGGCAAAGACTTTTTGCTTTCTCTCCAAATCTTCTTGCAACTTCATGTGGCAGCGTTGCCAGTCTGTCGGGATCTGATCACGGTGCCATGCAGGGAGAAAATGGTTGAGTTCAGCAAAGGTGGAACGCTTGTAGTCTGCCCGGCACGGAACAATGAACCAACTATCTGGACTTGCCGTGTCCACTTCACTGGAACTGTCATCCACCACAAAATATTCTGCAGGCATCAAGGATTTGCATATTTCGCGAACTTTCTGAATTCTTGGATTCTCATCATCATCGAAGGTCATAAGTGATAGTTCCTTTCCTTTATGCTCAGAATACAGGAAGAGGTCCACAACTGAAATGAAGTACCCATTCTGGGCTAGAAAGTCCGTTGCATATGTCTCCTTGGTGTCACGCACACAATGACCACTAAAAAATATTAATCACTCAGGCCTTCATGCTACAAAATGAATGCTCGTGTGCAAAAACTGTCAATCCTAACCAGCTACAAAGCAAAACCCGAAAAACATATCAAAAAACCATGTGAAAGCGTAGCAAGGGGCAATGAGCGCTTGAAGATGAGGATCTGCTTGCACTTCTTCCATGTCCTCTGGGACCTCCATGGGTGGACCCTCCTAAGCTGCATGGTCATCCAGTTTCATCAAGGAAACCAAGTAATTACAAATGCAGTCAAATACGCTGAAAAATAGAAAAAACATGAAAAAACATCATGGACCTTGAGCCAAACATGATGGTTTACAGTGGAACTCATCTGAACATACCTGAACTCTTTCTTGATCCTTGACCTGAAATGCGTGAAAGCGGCAGCAGGAGCTGGCAGTGGTGGTGGGGGCATCAGCGCAGAGACCAATGCTAGTTGTTCGAAAGCTGTCTGGTCAGAGTTCTCCCAACCGGCCTGATGGCGCACGCAGGACTACCCTCTCTACAAAATCCACACCTCCAACTAGCACTCATTACAAAATGCTCGGCTTCAGTCATCCAATTGTTGTGTAATTCCCAAAAAGATCCAAAAAGATCCAAAAAGCATAAAGAACAAAGTTTCATGCAAGAGACATTTCCAGCAGTTGAAGTTGGTGCGGCTTCATCTTTCCAGTCAGCTTCTGAAGTTGGCTCCATGCGTTCCTGGAAGACCGTAGACCGTAGAACGGGTAGAACGGACCAATGAGTTAGCATTAAATAACATTGGGCTGGTTGAAGACTCTCTCTACAAAATGGCATCCTCCATTTATGCTTCTTGGAAAAAGTCTACAAAATGATTGGCCCCAGGACCAATTCCTAAAAACAACGAAGAATTCATTATGCAAGAGACGTCAGCAGCATCTGAAGGTGGTCCCTCTGCATCTGCTTGAATTGCTCTGGCTTCCGCCTAGGAGCCGCAGATTGCAAAAATTGTTGGGAAATCTTCTTGAAGGATGTTCATGGATGGGGAGTTGGATGACATTGGGCATTGGGCTGCTTGAAGGCTCTCTCTACAAAATGTCATCTTTCATTTATGCTTCTTGA